ATTTTTGTTTCTTCAATTTTTGAGTTGCAACTTTTCAACTTTTAATTTTAGATTAGTATGTAATAAAAATAATAATTTTTAAAATATTCTACTTCTGAATTTTTCGATTTTTAGATACTTCAATTTTTGATTTCTTCAAACATTCGATTTTGCGATTTTTTGTTTCGGTTTTTAATTTTCTTTATTTTTACAATTTTTTGTAATTTTTTGAAGTGTAATTTCTCGAATTTTCAATTTTAATTGTTCAATTTTTCAGTTTTTTGGGTCTTCAATTTTTCAGTTTGTAGTTTTGGTTTCGTTTCTTTATTTTCCAATTGTTCGACTTTTCAATCTGAAATTTTTCAATTTTTGGATTTCCAATTTAAAGGTTTACAATTTTTCGATTTTCCATCTAGATTTTTTAATTTTTCGTTGTTTCAATTTTAGATTTTTCAGTTGCTTGATTTTTCAATTTTTCGTTTCTTCAATTTTTGATTTGCATTTTTTCTAGTTTTCATTTTAAATATGAATAAGAATTATAATTAAAAAAATTACTTCTTCATTTGTCGATTTTACAATTTTTGGGTTTTCCAGTTTTTCGATTCAATAATTTTTTTCAATTTTCATGTTTCCCGATTTTTAATTTTTCAATATTTCAATTTTTCGTTTCTCCATTTCTTCCATTTTTCAATTTTTCAATTTTTAATTGTTTGTTTTCTTATTTTTGAATTTCTCGATACTTTTGCAATTTTTCAATCTTTCTATGCTACAGTTTTTCGATTTTCCAATTTTTCTATTTTTCACTTTTCCGATTTTTCTATTTTTGCAATTGTTTTTTATTTTATTTTCATATCAAAAAATTTAAAAACCAAACATTGTGAAACTGAAAAATCAAAAGCCTAAAAATTGAAAATGAAGAACTTGAATTGAAGAAACAAAAAATGGGATAACTGAGAATTCGAAAAATGAACAAACGAGAAACTATAAAATGAAAACTTTGGAAAACCTAAAAATTGAAAATGGAGAACTTGAATTAAAGAAACAAAAAATGAAAAATCGAAACATTTGAAAATTGGGAAACTTAAAAATCGAAAAATTGTAAAATCGAAAAAACGAAATATGAATTGCAAAATCGAAATATTGAAATTTAAAGAAATCGGAAAATCGGATAATTGAGAAATCCAAAAATTACAAAACTGAAAAAATTTAAATTTAAGAACTGAAAAACCAAAGATTGAAAATTTGAAGAACTGAATAAACGAAAAATTATAAAATCTAAACGAAGTATGAAAAAACAAAGGAAATATAGAAACGGAAAATTGTGATATAAAATCTTAACTTACAAAGTTAGGGAAATGGAAAATTGGAAAATCGAAAAATTAAAAATTGAGAAATTAAAAAATTGAAATAGTTAAAGATAGAAACGAAAAATTATGAAACCGAAACATTGAAAAATGGAAAATTAAAGAATGAGAGAAAATGGAAAAATGAAAAATGGTTGTATTAAAAAATTGTAAAATCGAAAAAAAAGGAAAAATGAAAATCTGTGAAACTGAAAAATCGAAAATGAACGAACGAGAAATCATAAAATGAAAACTTTGGAAAATCTAAAAATTGAAAATGAAGAACTTGAATTGAAGAAACACAAAAATGAAAAATCGAAACATTTGAAAATTGGGAAACTTAAAAATCGAAAAACGAAATATGAATTGCAAAATCGAAATATTGAAAATTAAAGAAATCGGAAAATCGTACAATTGAGAAATCCAAAAATTGCAAAACTGAAAAATTTAAAAATTGTAAAATTTAGATACTGAACAACCAAAGATTGAAAATTTGAAGAAGTGAATAAAGGAAAAATTATAAAATCTAAAGAAATTTTGAAAAAACAAAGGAAATATAAAAACAAAAAATTGTAACATAAAATCGGAAAAATGAAATGCAAAATTCGAGAACTTGGAAAGTTAAGGAAATGGAAAATTGGAAAATCAGAAAATTAAAAATTGAGAAATTGGAAAATTCAAAAAGTGAAAGATGAAAACGAACAATTATGAAGCCGAAACATTGAAAAATGGAAAATTGAAGAATGAAAGAAAATGGGGAAACGAAAAATTATGATATTACAAAATTGTAAATCGAAGAAAAAGGAAAAACGAAAAATTGTAAAACTTAAAAATTAAAAGTAAACAAACGAAAAATTATACAATGAAAACTTTGGAAAATCTAACAACTGATAATGAAGAACTTGAATTGAAGAAGCAAAAAAATGAAAAATCGAAAAATTGCAAAATCGAAATATTGAAAATTAAACAAATCGGAAAATCGGATAATTGAGAAATCCAAAAATTACAAAACTGAAAAATTTAAAGGTTGTAAAATCGAGGAACTGAAAAACTAAAAACTGATAATTTGAAGAACTTAATAAACGAAAAATTATAAAATCTAAAGAAAGTTAAAAAAATAAAAGAATATAAAAACGTAAAATTGTAATATAAAATAGAGAAAACGAAAAACAAAAATCGAGAACTGGAAAATCGAAAAATTAATAATTGAGAAATTAAAACATTGAAAAAGTTAAAGATAAAAACGGAAAACTATGAAACCGAAATATTGAAAAATGAAAACAAAAGTTAAATTTGAAAAGGGAAAAAATATGAAACCGAAACATTGACAAATGGAAAAATTGTGAAACTGAAAAATCAAAAATGAAGGAACGAGAAAATAAAATGAACACTTTGGAAAATCTAAAAATTGAAATTGAAGAAACAAAACATCGAAAATCCGAAAGATTGCAAAATTGTTAAACTTGATAATCGGAAAATCGGATAACTGAAAAATTTAACAATTGTAAAATCTTGGAACTGTAAAACCAAAGATTGAAAATTTGAAGAACTGAATAAACAAAAAATTATGCAATATAAAGAAACTCTGAAAAAACAAAGGACATAAAAAAACGAAAAATTGTGATATAAAATTGGAAAATCGATAAATTAAAACATGAGAAATTAAAAAATTGAAAAAGTTAAATTTGAAAAGGGAAAAAATATGAAACCGAAACATTGACAAATGAAAAATTGTGAAACTAAAAAATCAAAAATGAACAAACGAGAAAATAAAATGAACACTTTGGAAAATCTAAAAATTGAAATTGAAGAAATAAAACATTGAAAAAACCAAAGATTGCAAAATTGTTAAACTTGATAATCGGAAAATTGCAAAATCGAAATATTGAAAATTAAAGAAATCAGAAACTCGGATAACTGGAAGTCCAAAAATTGCAAAACTGAAAGCATTTAAAAATTGTAAAATTTTGGAACTGAAAAACCAAATATTGAAAATTTGAAGAACTGAATAAACGAAAAATTATAAAATCTAAAGAAACTTTTGAAAAATAAAGGAAATGAAGAAACGAAAAATTGTGATACAAAATCAAGAACATGAGAATTAAAAAATTAGAAAAATGAAAAGCAAAAATCGAGAACTTAAAAAGTTAAGGAAATTAAAAATTGGAAAAGCCATGTATAAATTGCAAAATCGAAATTCTGAAAATGAAAGAAATCGGAAAATCGGTTAATTGAGAAATCCAAAAAAAAACAAAACTGAAAAATTAAAAAATTCTAAAGTCGAGGAGCTGAAAAACCAAAAATCTAAAAATAAAAAATTGAGAAATTAAAAAATTGAAAAAGTTAAAATTGAAAAGCGAAAAACTATGAAACAGAAACACTGAAAAATGGAAAAACTGAAAAAATTGTCATCAATTTGAGAGGGTTAAAGGAATAAATTTTTGTGAGGTTTCAGAGCACTCGGTTTTGAAGTTTCGAAGTATTTTTTTTTCTAAAGAATTAAAAAATCAAAATAAAAAACTGGAAACAAGTTGTGAATTGTTTTCAGGGATGGGCGCATGCCAAGAGCCTGAACCAGGTTGGCTGGATGCAATTCAGGGTAACACTGCCTTCGTGATTGGCCAGTACCTAGGTTTGATACACTGCCACCTGACAAACACTGACACTATAAACTTTATCCCGTCTGACTACTCAGCAAATATTATTTTGGCAGCTGCGTGCTACTCAGAACCCAAAACATCCCCCACACCGATCTACAACTACACAGGCTCTGAAAAAAATTTAATGTCAAAGTGTAAGTACAGCTCGATTTTCAGCTTCATAAAAAAACTTTTGATTTTCTAAAGATCAACTCTACGTCTACGGGAAAGTGATTTTCCCACTGTACCCCAGTGTGCATGCTGTTAATTTGTCCTTCTTTGTTTTTACCAAAAACAAGTACTATCTTAGGTTCCTCCAGTTCTGGCTTCACCTCGTGCCAGCGTATATCGTCGACCTGATTTGTTTGTGTCTAGGAAAAAAACGAAGATGAGTGTTTAAGTGTACAACTTTTTCACAACTAAAGGTTTTCAGGTTTGTTAAGATGTATCAAAAGCTGCACAGAATTTGTGACCTTTTGGGTTTCTTTAGCGTGAATTCGTGGGAATTTGAAACGACCAATACCGAAATTTTGTGGAAAGATTTGAACGAAAAAGACCAACAGTTGTTTCCGTTCAACATGGAAACGCTTCAGTGGGAGAGTTATTTCAAAAGTTGCGTTTTATATGGACGGATTCATTTACTGAACGATCCGATAGACACTTTACCACAAGCCAAACGAAAACAAAAATTCATAAAATTAATCTACTATTGTATTGGTCTTGCACTTGTTTACTTCCTGTGGCGCTTAATTTGAATTATTAAATAAATCTGTTTCGGTTGGTTTTTTTGGGTGTGTGCTGGAGTGTCAATTTGAGTTTAATAATAACAATATTTCAAACAAATCTCCCATTAATTACCTCTCCCCACGCAAAAACCCCAACACAAAGACGCAATTTCCGTTAAAAAATTTCAATTCTGGTGGATGCGCCGGGCTAATAGTCACTTTTGGCGGATGCGCCGGGTTTAATACAATTTTTCTCGAAATGTGCCTGATAACCCAACGCATTTCCCACGAAATGGGATTCTATTCAAACTCACCAGGATTGTACATGTTCTGGTGGAAGCTTCGTAGGCGAACGTCCGGATTTCTTCGCGGAAATAAATCCAGCGTCGAGATCGATACGTCCTGGGGCCACAGAGGGCCATCCAGAGGATCCATGGGTCTGCTTTCTACCATAACGACGTACAGTAAGCTCGTCATGATGATTCGCCACATCTGCAAAAAAGCCGCTTTAATCTTCAGCAACTCGTTCTTATGCAAGTCGTTGTAGGAGCCATTAGAAGCGAAAATCGAATAATCAGGCCCGTTCTAAATTCAGTTTCAGGTGCGAGGCCTGATTGCATAATCCAAATTGAAAGCGTGGCTTTTTGATGTATAATGTAGCTTATTCGTGACAGTAGCTAATTTGCATTAAGCGTCTCGACTTAAAAGCACTTAACAGATAGGGAAATGTCGGTGGAATTGCAGATGTTTAGGGTGGACGGTCGTTTCAGTTACGCAGGGAAGTCAATTAGCAGGTAGGAATTGGAGAGGTGATAAATGTGAAGGGCTAACTATTAACGATATCGATTATGGTGCGGACGTGAGGATGTTTTTGGATTGTCCGCGTAAAGCACGGATTCAATGGACATTGTCAGCATAAAGGGTCTTTGTATTTGACAGATTGGTTCTGTATTGCTTCCGACAGAGGGGACTCGGGCTATTTATATGTCGAGGATGTGGCCGCAGCGATCGTTAGGCGTCAGTTTATTTTTATGTAAAAAGATAATTGTTGTTGGTGCATTGAAACAGTAATTGTTAGAATTTTTTGTAATTTGTAGATTCTAAGAAGAGCAATTTTATCGTGTTTGTTTTGTGTGAATGATAGTTTTGCGTGATACGAAACTATTGAATCGATTACTCGACACATTTTGTGTATTTTGACATTATCGTAAATTTGGAGAAACGCTGAGCGAAGGTTCTATCTAAAATTTAATTATATTGTGTTACAATGTTGTTAAATAAATCTTCAATAAACGAGTGGTCTATAATCCACTGTTCACTCTTCGAGCCTAAATTAGGGGAGTATTGTGACGGGCGAGCAGCACATTTTTTTAATAAAATTAATTTTAACCCCCACTCATTATTCGTCTTTTCATTCCTTCCAAAAAAATGTATTAAATGTAACTGGCTGTAGTTCAGATTAGGTCAAATCACTTCAGGTCAGGTTTATAATTTACCCAGTTCTAATTCTTAACAACATTAACCATGCCGTTACCATTATACTGTATCATAGTTAAATCCTTATTTATGACTGTCCCATCATCCCATAAAATCGAATTTGAACTGGTGAAACTATACAAAAAATTTTCAAAATTTTGCAGAAACATATCAATCCTATCTAAAAAAAGCAAAATTTGATGACGCCAGATTTTTAATCTTGCCCCAAGAGCATAAACACCCTATGTTTTTGAAATCACCACGAAGAAATCCATATGACAATTTTTTTAGGCTTTTCTTGTCAAAATTTTCAAAAACAATGTTTCAATGTCTCCAATAAAAATCTGGACCAATTTTTTAAATTTAACCAGTCATTTTCTTATGGATTTGGGACTCCTGAAGTTATTTTTGTCCCATTTCTTTTTCCAGAATCGCTCACTAAATATTGCAGTTTTTTTGGATTTAAAGAAAAATAGTTTTCAAAGCGAAAATTTTTAATCTTGTGCCGAAAGCATAAATTTCGGCAGTTTTTCTTTGTCAAATTTTCAAAAACAAAATTTTCAGTAAAAATTTCGGCAAATTTTCTACAATTTTCGAAATTAAATTAAAGATATTTTCTAATTCATTTCGACCCCAATAAGTCCTTCCATTTTTCCAGAATCGTTCACTTAATAATTGCAATTTTTTTGGATTTAAAAAAGTTTAAATATTTTCAAACCTGAAATTTTTAATCTCAGGCCAAGATGATAAACACGATAGGTTTTTGGAATCAGCATTTAATCTATATGCCAGGATTTTGTGGATTTTCTTTGACAAATATTTCAAAAACTAAGTTTTTCAATAAAAATTTCGGCGAATTTTCGACAATTTTAAAAATGTTTTCTTATGGATTTCCTCAAAAGTTCCTTTCGGCCTCATTTCTACAATAACTCCTTCGATTTTTACAAAATCGCACACTAAAATATTGCAAATTTTTATATGTTGAAAAAATTGATTTTCAAATCGAAAATTTTTAATTTTACTCTAAGACTATAAACACCCTATGCTTTTGGAATCAGCAGGACGAAGTCTGTATACCAGAATTTTCTCAAATTTTTCAAAATCAAAATTTTCTAATAAAAATTGCTGTCACTTTTTAACAATTTTCGAAATTTAGCCAAAGACACTTTAGTATGGATTTCCACTTTTAGAACTTAGTTTCAACCTCATTTCTTCGAAGGCTCCTTCCATTTTTCCAGAATAACTGACAAAAATACATTTTTTTGGATCTAAAAAAAAAATTATTTTTAAACCAAAAAATTTTATATTTATTCTGAGACCCTAAGGACGCTATGTTTTTGAGATCAGCACGACGTAATCTCTCCGCCAGTATTTTGACATTTTTTTGGCAAATTTTTCAAAAACAGAATTCTTCAATAAAAATTTCGTCCAATTTTCGAATTTCGACGAAAGACATTTTCTTATGGATTTTAAAAAATTTGAATTTCAAACCGAAAATTATTAATCTCACCCTGAAAGCATAAACACGCAATGTTTTTGAAATCAGCACGACGAAATCTCTCCGCCAGTATTTTGACATCTTTTTGGCAAATTTTTCAAAAACAGAATTCTTCAATAACAATTTCATCCAATTTTCGACAATTCTCGAATTTTGACGAAAGGCATTTTCTTATGGATTTTGAAAAATTTTATTTTCAAACCGAAAATTATTAATCTCACCCTCACAGCATAAACACGCATTGTTTTTGGAATCACCACGACGAGATATAAATGCCAGAATTTTGTCAGTTTTTTTTTGCAAATTTTTCAAAAACAGAATTTTCCAATAAAAATTTCGGTCAATTTTCTACAACTTCCGAAATTTTCCATTTTACAGAAGCGCTCATTAAAAATATTGCAAATCTTTTTGTATTAAAAAAAAAGATTTTTAAACTTAAAATTTTTAACCTTGGCCCAAAAGCTTTATTTGTGGAATCAGTACGACGAAATTTATATGCTTCAATTTTTTGGGTTTTTTGTGGCGAATTTTTCAAAAACAAAATTTTTCAGTACTCCCTCCAATAAAAATTTCGACCATTTTTCGACAATTTTAAGCGACCTCCAGTTAGTTCTGGCCTCGTTTCTTCGATATTGCAATTTTTGGATAAAAAAAAAATGGATTTTCGCACCGAAAAATTTTGATTTTACACCGAGAACTTAAACACGCTATGTTTTTGTAATCAGCATGTAGGTCAAAATTGTGTCAAATTTTTTTGGCAAATTTTTCAGAAACAAAATTATCTAATAAAAATTACTGTCAATTTTTGACAATTTTCGAAATTTAGCTGAAGACATTTTGGTATAGACTTCGACCTCGAGAAGTTAGTTTCGGTCTCATTTCTTCGATGGCTCTATCCGTTTTACCAGAATCACTCAACAAAATGTTGCAAATTTTCAAAAATTTGATTTTCAAACCGAAAATTTTTATATTTTTGGAATCAGCACGACGAAATCTATATGCCATTTTTTTTGACAAATTGTTTTAAAACAAAATTTTCCAATAAAAGTTCCGCCAATTTTCGACAAATTCCGAATTTTTTATTTTTCCAAAATTTCTCACTTAAAATATTGCAGATTTTTAGATTTTAAGAAAAATTAATTTACCAACTGAAAATTTTTATCTCTCTCCGAGAGCATAAACATTCGGCATAATGAAATCCATATGGCGGAATTTTTTAAGATTATTTGGCAAATTTTTCAGAAGCAATATTTTTCAAATGTAAAAATTTTGGACAATCTTCAAAATTTAACCAGACATTTATTATACATTTCGACTTCCAGAAGTAAGTTTTGGTTTTATTTCTTCGACACTTCCTTCCATTTTTCCAAAATCCCTCTCTAAAATATTGCAATTTTTTAGATTTAAAAAAATTTATATATTTTCAAATCTGAATTTTTTTATCCTACTCTAAGAGGAAAAATACGATATGTTTTTTGGGGTCAGCATAACGAAATCCATATGCCAAAAATTAAATTTTTCAATAAAAATTTAACTCGACATTTTCTTAGGGATTACCTCAGAAGTTATTTTCGGCCTCATTTCTACAATAGCTCCTTCCATTTTTCCAAAATCGCTCACTAAAATATTTCAATTTTTTGCATGTTGAAAAAACTGATTTCCAAATCGAAAATTTTTAATTTTACTCCAAGCCTCTAAACACGCTGTTTTTAGAATCAGCATGACAAACTCTACATTTGTGCCAGAATTTTGTCAAATTTTTCAAAAACAAAATTTTCGAGTAAAAGTTAGTTTCGTCCTCATTTCTTTGTTAGCTCCAGAATTACTAACTAAAAATATTTCAATTTTAGGATTTAAAAAAATATATGTTTTCAAACCGATGATGTTTAATCTTAGCGCGGGAACTTAAACACGCGTGTTATTGAAAGCAGAATGACGACATTTTTTTGGCGAATTTTTCGAAAACTAAGTTTTTCAATAATTTCTATCAATTTTCGACAATTTACAAAATTTAACCAAAGACATTTTCTTATGGATTTCGACTTCCAAAAGTTAATTTCGGCCTCATTTTATTGATAGCTGTTTCGATTTTCCAGAATTTCTCATTAAAAATATTGCAATTTTTGGATTTTTTGAAAAATTGATTTACTAACCGAAAAGAGCATTAGCAATGTATTTTTAGAATGAGTACAACGAAATCTATGTGCCAGAATTTTGTCGTTTTTTTTAGACAAATTTTTCAAAAACAAAATTTTTCAAATATAAAAATTTCGGTAAATTTTCATCAATTTAGAATTAACTAAGACATTTTCATATGGATTCGACCTTCAGAAGTTGGTTTCGACCTCATTTTTTCAATACTCCTTCTATTTTATCAGAAGCGTTTACTAAAAATATTGCATTTTTTTGTTAAAAAAAAAGATTTTCAAATCAAAAAATTTTAAATTTATTCTGAGACCCTAAACACGCTATATTTTTGAAATCAGCATATATGTCAAAATTTTGTCAAATTTTTCAA